CACAAAGTAATTTTTAATCTTATAGGTGTTGTAGTACTTAAAAATGTAACTATGTTTTATTACTTACAAATTTGGCCATGACGAGTGCAAGTACAAAAACTACAAGTAAAAAAGGCATTTTGTCCTTCGATCTACAACAAAACAAACATGTACTGTCTCGTGAACGGCCCTGACCCCAATAGCTTTCGATTTTGTAATTATGAAAACCGAAGTGACATTGACCCCGAAAAAATGAAAACAAGGTGATTAGCTGTCAAGAAATCTCACTTTAGCTACGTTTTCAAAGTATAAAGTCTAATTGCGAGTTTGAAATGACAAAAATACCATAATAATACTTAAAATAGATAAATTCAAGTATTGAACTAATACTTAAAGTATGCTAAATCATGTACTGTTAAAATGTTTTATAATAAGAAGTAAAAAACATGTAGTGAACTCCGTATAACGAATCGCTCGAGAGTTTGAAATTTTGTTATACAGGAGTTTTACTGTATTTGCAATCCTGTTGTAAAATACGATATATACTTTGGATAATATAAAAAGACGTAGATACCCAATAACAGCTTTATTTTACTGTATTGACATTGCAAACTGTAAACATTTGACCCGGAAATTCAAATTGAAAACAATGTTTTGGCCGATTAGTTGTTTACTGTTTAAGCTCCGAAAAGTAGCCTTTTGAACTCACGACAAAACAACAGGTTTTGAATATACTGAAAGAAAAAAATGAACAATTAATTTAAATTTTGCTTAAATCGTATTTCACATTCTTGGCCGTGACAATTAATATTTTTTATTTATTTTTATTTGCCTTATTATAAAATGTCATAAAACCTTAAAATCGAAATCAATTTTAGTGATAAAGATTAAATTAAAATTGCGTGAATATCACTAATCAAAGCCACAATAACACAACAGTGATAGTAATAAACTTTAAATTAGGATAAAATTGCTATGGTAACTATTAGCGCATAAAAATGTGTAAAGATATATAGACAATGAGGTAATTTAAAATTCGAAAATGTGACAATGAAACTCGTAAACAATAACAAAGAATGGCGCGGAACGGCAGGATTAGGACTTGAAAAGATAATTACAATTTGTCAACAACAAAATTTGTAAAGTTTACACTAATTTTAGAAACGTCATCAATATCATATAGTATACTCTGTTCGTACTATACTAATTGGCATTTACTGTTGTATATAAAGCTTGACAATTGTGATATTGTGTACTTTAAATAACTTTTACCCGTATTTTACAAAAATATTATGTCATATATAGTATTACACACAACATGATACTATGTTCCTACCCTACATTTAAAATTTCTGAGATAAAGAACAACAAATTGATGATACAAAAGTTGATAGAGTCGTTAACAGTTGACGTCGCAGTGTAATCGGTTCAGAACTGCAGCCCAAAAGTTTCAGACCGGTTCCGCGAAATCCGGCGCTTCTCAAGAAGATACGACGACAAAAAGTGACGGTGTGATCAGACTTTTACTTTCGTCTATAATCGTATTTTTTGATAAGCGATCACCGTGATGATAATGCAGGTCGGTACTTCGTATTTGACATATTCTTGACTTTGATATATATGATATAAGCATAGTGTAGGGAGGTATTGTGGTATATATCTTGTGGTATACGTGTACAACTTATACTTTCTTTTACTTTCACCACAAAGTTAAGGCACTTGGAGAAGAGTTTTAAAATGACATTTTAAAACATTATAGTACATTAACTTTCTTGTCGTATCTTTTCCCACTAAATTTACTACCGGAATATAAGCTTGGCCATGTTCTCTGTTTACAACACGTATTGTATTTTTACTGATAATAATAAAAAAGCAGCGCGACGTATTTCAAACATTTTATATAGGATTTTTTAAAATGGTTTTTAATATATTTTTAAAAAATTAAAAATTGTAATTCCTAAACTTAGAAAATTACCGCTAACCTTCTTTACACCTAAATAAACTAAAAACTTTAGATTTATGCCATTTCAGACCAAATCTTGGGTCCAAGATGAGTGAGCCGGATAAGATAAAGTTGCCCACCACATCGGAGATTCATCTTGATGGCTATGTAAACTAATTGGCAAAGTTGTAAAATGTGGAGAGCCTTCCAATACTCAAGCCACGGTATTCATTTCAATACCTCTTGCCAAACCACCTTTCAGGGAGCTGAGGTTTAAGGTAAGATTTTTTTTAATTTTTGGTTGGATACGCAGCGCTTTATTTGGCAGGGTAAGATAGGGTAAAAAATGTAAAAATGCCAACAGTTATGCAGAGGATGTAGCAAAATTTTCAGTTACCACAACTTCCTGACCAACTACAAGATAAACCTCTGTAATTTTTTCAATTTCCTCCTCGAAGCATACAGACCCTTTTGTCCAGAAAAAGTGGCGTAACTCTGAAAAGATTTCAGAGGACTCACTCTACCTCAATGTGTTGCTCCATCTTTCAATGAAACTACTGGTACTAAACATCCAGTCATGGTATTTGTGCACGGTGGTGCGATGGTACTAAAAAATACGGAATGCAGAGAATTTGCGGTGTTTTGGTAAGTTTTGATTAATTTTGTAAGGCAAGTAGAGTGGTTTTTTATGAGAAAAATACATTTTGTAGGGCGAGGGTCGTTTTTTGAGGAGAAAAAAGTGAAATTTTTAAAAATTTATACTGTTGTAGATAATGTAAAATACGTGTCCTAAATTCGTTCATGGAAGAGTTTTTCAGATATTTTAAGAGATATCAGAGTATGAGAGAAAACGTGGCCCAGGGAGGAGTCGAACCCTGCATCCTTCGTTTACCGAACGAATGCTCTACCTATTAAGCTATCTGGGCTCCTTCTCTCAAAGCCTTTATCTCGATCAGTTCTTATCTATCTCCGTTCACGTCAAATTAAAACGGAAATTAGAGATTAAAATAGACGTTTTGTTTAGCGCATAAAAAAAGAGAGCGTGCATAGAAAAAGCGAACTAGAGAGCGAAAAACGGAGAGAGCGCCACGAAAACGAAGAGAGAGCGGTTAGACATTGCGATATTTCCCTCATTTCTATTATTTAGGTTTGACGTGAGTAGTGCTAACTTCAAACGACCATAACTTGATCACAACAAACATTTAGCAACTTTTGAAAACATATTCAGAATCAGGATAATCTAAAAATTTGTCTGAGCTGAAATACACGGCTAAGCGTTTGGTTTTGAGACTTTTCATGAGAAAACAAAAATTTCGTCAAAAAGCGGCAAATTTAAAAAACAAATCGAAAAGCCTGTGGGCTGCAGAAATTTCGCGCCCAAAAAGCTTGAAATTTCAAAGACAAAGAAACAGAGAAATTTAATCTCTCGCCTTCCGCGCAACCCACTCATTTATCGACCAAACAAATATCTAAAATGAGTGAAAAACAACTGTTTCTTCAGCCATGAACGAGCTCAGGACAGCGCCGGGTTGGCTGAGCTAACCCGGTTGAGTTGAGACAATAATATCCGAGACAATAATACAATATATATATTTATTATCAACCACAAGATATTATGTCGAGTATCAATCGGAGCGGATAATAAGACCGACTGGTCAGGAGGCGAGCGTTCCGATTAACTGAATGCCACGCGTGCGTTTTGTCCAAGGAAGAGAGAGAGAGTGCCAATTTGCATAATCGTGCGATTTGTCACGTGTCCCAAGCGTGGTCCAACTGTTGTTCAACCTTGCAAAGGATGAGCAGCCGGAGGTGCGAAGCCGCCCGGTTAACCCGCACTCAGCTGCAGAAGAGCTGAGGAGCACATGCGGGTTAAGTTAGCTGATAAAAAATTATCAAATTTTCGTCGAGTTACATTACTGTAACGAAGAATAAGGCTACAACAACACTCTATACAAAGCCCATGAAAAATGACATTTTATGCTAGTTTTTTGAAGCTATCTTATAAAGAGATTTTTTGTGGTACTCGATCGTATATTCATCATGTATAATATAGCAAGGAAGTATTTACATTACTGTAACTCGACGAATAATGGAGCTACAATAGCAGTCAACACAGATTCTGAAAACCCATGAAAAATGACATTTAATGCTTTGACGTGCAGTTCCTTTTTATATTGTTTTATCCGAATATTTAATCGGAATATTCGACAGTTTTTTAATTTAACATTTTAGGTAACACCTCACAATATTGTAGTAGTAACAGTTCAATATCGGCTAGGATACCTTGGCTTCTTTTCAACTGGAGATGGTCGTATTCCAGACAATCTTGGGTTATACGATATGAAAATGTCGTTAGAATGGGTACAAAAACATATAAGCAGCTTTGGCGGAGACCCGAATAATGTCGCCTTGGCTGGTCAGACTGCTGGAGGGGCGCTGGTCGAGTATTTATCGCTGAGTCCACTTACTTGGAGTAGGCTTGCAATTTTTTTAGTAGATCATGACTTGTTTCTTAAAATTTTGTTCATCTTAACATAATGTCAGCTTGCTGTATCTTTCCGCTTATTGCTGCAGGATGCTACAAGAATAGTGAAACATGGTATAAGAAAAAGCAGAGAGGTATATCATACTACAATGCTGGTACTATATAGTATAATAATAATCCAAATCATTTTAAAAACCGTTTATTTTGTTCAAAACTCCACTCTGACCAGTATGTTACAACAATGTGATTATATTTGGTAAGTGATAACAATATTAAAAGTCAAAATCTCTAAAAACTAATAAATACAACAAACTCATGGTTAAGATTACCTGTAGAACTTTGTGTAGACTAATAAGAAGGTTACTATGTTATCTTATATAGTAAAAAAGAATTTTGGATACTAAAAATGTTAAGAAATTTTTAAAAATTAGTTCAAAATAGTTAAAAAAGACTATCTACTTTCAAAAATTTGGCAATTGTAAAACCGTTAAATGGCATTATAAACTAGTCAAAGGTAAATTATATTATAATAATATTTAAAATTTGGCATTTTAAGGTCTAGCTTCAGAGTCTGAAGTTTAGATGACACCGTAATTATTCCTGTGAATGACCATTTTGTTTTGAACTCAAAGGTTTTACCCATAAATCAGCTCGCCCTTCCATGAATTGGCTAGCCATCTCTGGCTCTGTCTTTAACAATATACATCGTGATGGATGTTCAGATGTACATGGATCCCACGATGGTAAATTCTCATGGGCTTCCAATGGTATTTTTGTGGTATCTCCATTCGGGTTACTGTAACATTAAAAATTTTTGATTTTTAAAAATGATTTAAAAAATGATACTTTATATCTTCGAATGCCATAACATAGCTTAAAAAGTAAGTAACAGCTAATGTAAATACGAAAAGTAAATTTAAAAAAATTAAATTTAAAAAACCTACTATAAGCATATATGTATCAACTTACAAATCTACTATAGTCATATACGTAACAACTAAAAACCTACCCAAACCGACAGAAATTGGCAAAGTATTTGGTGGTCAACTTAATCATCTTCGTATCCTCTTCACTCAATGTAAATTTGTTGACCACAAACACTCTAAACAAGTATACCAGCTCGTTACAGTGAGTAGCACCATCAAATGGCAAAACGTGTCTAGCCAAGCCAATTTGAGCTTTATTAAAGTGATTGAAACAGTAGAGATACACATCCTTGTTCCCTCGATCTACTTGATTTGTCGCGTATTTTAGAGTCGCTGCTCCCATTACTACGTCGGTGAAGAGCTGAAAAGGTAGGTTTATATTTGAAAGTTTATATAGGTGTATGATAAATCAGGCAGTAGGTGTACAATGACTTTTACTTTCCTATTTCAATTCATATATCCTTTTTATGCAAGTTTTATGCAAATTTTGACATAAAACAGCCGTACCTACAAGTATCTTATTTTGCATCAAAATGTGGTAAGTTAAGGTAAAATATGTTACATCATTAATTTCGTCTACATACCCTAGTACAAACTTGTCGTATGCTCAACTTCTCTTCAGTATGCAATCTTATGTACAAGTCAGTTAAAAGTTGTCGTCGAGCAGCAAAGTCTGGCTCTGATTCAGGTATCGTCTCTGCCAGAATCTGCTCTACCAACTCTATTGAGGAGAACTTCCTGGCAATCAGTTCTAAAATAATATCATCATATTTCATTATAAGTTTAACGTGTAACAGGCCGGGTTTGATTATTTGCCCCAAGTTCTTTTCAATTTTGCTTTGGCCTAGCCTACGTAACCCCTTTCATGTCTAGATTAGCAAGCCAAAAAAACTTTAAATTTAAGGCCTTTAACTATTAGCTCAATCTTTACTATACAACCTAACAGTATAAGATATATACACCAAACAAACAAATCATTAAAAATTATTTTTAACTTATCGAAAATTTAAAAAATGATGCCCACACAAACTAAGGTATCTTAAAAATTCAAAAACTTACGAAAAAGTAGCCCTTCGTGTTCACTCACACCCAGTAAAATAGGCTTTACTGGAGCTTCTTTCCTCAACTGATCTAATGGTTTAGAGAAGAATGGCGCTGATATCCTGGGTGATATCTCAGTACTTGGCTTTAACCCATAACCGCTTGAAGTCAATTTCATTTTTGTCCCAAAGTCTAACGCTGGGATTTGTAACATTACTTTCTCGGTTTCCTGAAAAAGTTTTTTAAAAGTATAATAAAAGATAGTTATATTGATAAGCTCAGTATTATTAGAATGTCAAAAAAAGTCTTGTCGCCGAAACTGCCTGATCTTGGCACAGAATTCCAATGAAATTAAATTGGGTTTTTTGCCTTTTAAAGACGGTTTTCACGTTTAATAAAACTTTTTGCCACACATTATATTGTCCTTATTGTAATATTTGCCAATTTCGACAGTTAATAACGTAAACTCTCAAAATTAGTTACCTCAGGCGATAAAGTAGGTTTGACTCCTATCCGTCGCAGTTTCTTGCGACAAGTTTCCACATTCTTTTCGTTTGTAGCCCATAAACAATGAGCGTTACCAGCCATGGGTAAGATCTTATGGAATAAATCTAAAAATAATTTTAAATTGAAACTATGTTATGATGAACATGTTTTTCATTATATAAAACTATTATTAGTAATACATAACCCATAATTTTAAATATTTTAGTCATGTTGATCTTATACATCAGCAAACTTGTACTTGCCAAGTAAATCTAAGAAATAAATTTTTTAAAATTTAATTTTAAGAAACAAGTCATAAAGTGCTAAAAATTGTGAACCTACTCCAAGTAAGTGGACTCAGCGATAAATACTCGACTAGCGCCCCTCCAGCACTCTGACCAGCCAAGGTGACATTATTCGGATCTCCGCCAAAGCTGCTTATATGCTTTTGTACCCATTCTAATGACATTTTAAGATCGTATAACCCAAGATTGTCTGGAATACGACCATCTCCAGTTGAAAAGAAGCCGAGGTATCCTAGCCGATATTGAACTGTTACTACTACAATATTGTGAGGTGTTACCTGGAATGTCAAATTTAAAAAATTTTCCATGAATAAACTAAAGTTCGTATTTTACAATATCTGCGTCAACAAAAATTTTTTTAATGTTTACATTCTTTCCCAAACCCCCCCTTCTACAAAAGGTTTCATACCTAAAATGTTAAATTAAAAAATTCTTCCATGAACGAGTTACGGAACGTATTTTACATAATCTACAACAATATAAATTTTTAAAATTTTTAATTTTTTCCTTAAATCCCCCCTCCCCTCTACAAAAGGCATCATACCTAAAATGTTAAATTAAAAAACTATTCCATGAAACAGTTTATTAAACGTATTTTACATAATCTACAACAATATAAATTTTTAAAATTTTAAATTTTTTTCCTTAAATCCCCCTCCCCTCTACAAAAGGCATTATACCTAAAATGTTAAATTAAAAAACTCTTCCATGAACGAGTTACGGATCGTATTTTTAACTTTTTTTCTCAAAAAACGACCCCAAAAGATATATTACTCAACAAAAAAACCACCCCTTTTGCCCTATAAAATGTATCAAAACCCTACCAGAACATCGCAAATTCCCTGCATTCCGTATTTCTTGGTACCATCGCTGACAAAAGCACCACCGTGCACAAATACCATGACTGGATTTTTAGTACTGGTGGTTTCATTGAAAGATGGAGCAAATACATTGAGGTAGAGCGAGTCTTCTGAAGTCTTTTCAGCGTTGCGCCACTTTTTCTGAACAAAGGGATCTTTCTGGATGCCTCGAGGAGGAAATTGGAAACATTCCAGTGGTTTATCTTGTAGTTGGTCAGGAAGTTGCGGTAACTGAAAGTATTGCTATTTTCTCTGCAAAATTCTTGGTATTTTACAATTTGTACCGTACTCTAACCTTACCCTACTCTACCATGTCCTCCCTACCTACCTAGCCAACAACGTATTGTACAAACCCAAAATTTTAAAATTTTTTGAAATTTCAAAAAAACATCTCCTACCTTAAACCTCAGCTCTCCAACAGGTGGTTTTGCAAAAGGTATAGACATAAATACCATGGCTTGAGCATTAGAAGGCTCTCCACATTCCACTAACTTGCCAATTATTTTACCATAGCCATCAAGATGAACCTCTGAAGTGTTTGGCAACTTTTTCATATCTGGCTCACTCATCTTGGACCCAAGGTTTGGTCTGAAATGGCACAAGGTTAAAGTTTTAAAACAACGCCAAAATCAAATAAAATAATAAAAGTATTCAATTTTTTTAAAAATCCTACATAAAATGTTTAAAATAGGTCGCGCTGCTCTTTTTCATTCTTATAAATTAAGCATACAACAAGATATTTTCAAATCTCAATTGAAAAATAGACCAAATCTTTAAAAACCCCAAAAAAAAGTTAAAAACAAAGAATTCCAAACAAAGATTTGGTCGTTTCCGTTTTGTGAAAAAGTTTCTAAACCAAGAGAAAACTGATAAAACAATGATAATAACATTAAATAATTTCATCGCCTTTTATCTGAAAGGTCACTTTCGGCGACTTTACTACTTTCTTCGTGTTTAACTGTAATTTTTTTAAATAAGTTTACTTAATATAAAAATATTGTCAGCTATTACCAAGAAATTGTATCCTTTATTTTTAAGAAAGTTTTGTCGTCAATGGATGTTCATTTACACGTTTAAAAACGGCAAAACTTTTTCGCAAAACTAGTATAATATAGAATAATGGCTTAAAAACATTCTGAAATCAGCATAATGTTCTCCAAACCATAATCACCCCGCCCTACACTAATTACTGAATCTATAACAAAGCATTGTACAGACAATGCCTTCCCTTAACAACATGTTATAGTGGCCTCACTGCTCATCCAAACTCTTCCCAATTTCCATATAAATTCTTTGAGAAATTCGCCTGAATCATCGCAAAGAATAATCGAAAATATTTTTCGAAGAATCTGCGAAAACGCCTCTTCGGTGCCCTCAGGGAATGTAACTTTACATCGGAGCGAAGGAAAGTCACCATCGACGTCATTCAAGTGTAAACATTACAATAAACAAAGTTTTGCAAGACATCAAAAATAATTATTTTAGATACTTGGTCTTACGTTTTTTTTTGATAAAAGTTTTAAAAAAATATTGTAGTAAGAGTCAAAGAAATTTTTTTCGTTTTTAAATTTAAACATAAATATAAATTGACGACAAAACTTATTTTACCCCCAAACAATTACATCCCATGTTAACTGTTTAACAAAAACTAGAGATTAAACAAAAACCTCGTATAACAAAAAGTTTCTTTTAGTTTGCAACGCCAAAAAATCAAAAAGTTAAAATTTTTTTTTAAATATGGCGGGAAATTCAAAAAAGGGGGATTTTCAAGGTTAATATTTTAAAAACTAACAAAGAAAGTGGCCGACCTGTCCCGATCTGATTGACTTATTAACTTAAAAAATAAAAGTTCAATAAATATAACATGCTAATAAAACGTTACAAGTTAAAAAAGCAAAAGAAACATAATACTAAAACATACTTTTAAACTAATTTTTTAACAACTTTAAATAAAGTAATCAAATCTATATTGACATTGTCGAGAATTAAAGTTCAAAGTCCAAGATTGCTGAAAAATAAATTTAGATCATTCTAGCACGTTATCATTCAACTACAACTTGTTTTCTTAAAGAAAACATTTAAAAGTTAAAAATTTTTAAAAATATAGCCTATTCTATTTAAAATTTAAAAAATTTAATTATTAAAGATTTTCACAAGTTTTCAGCACTAAAAAGTTTAGTCTAAAAAGTTTTGAGCTCTAAAAGGTTTAAAAAGTTGAAAAGAATCCTCGAACTAAAAAAGAAAAAACTTTTAAAGCCTCTATTAAATAGCCTGAAGCATTTTTCCCAAAATATTAAAAAATAATTGAATTAATCGACGTTTCAAAACAAATTTTTTAATTTATTGTAAGCCGATTCCCTTATATACTATAATATGATTGCCTTATATATTAAAGATAACACAAAAAGCGTAGGCGAGGTTAATAACAAGATTCGTAAGCCTGGAAATATGCAAAATTACTCATGGAAAATAAATAAAAGTCGCGCCAATTCTTTCCCCAACTGTTTCTTTGCTTTCTCAAAAATGAAAAAAAGTCGAGTTCTCTCCCCCCCCAGAGGCTAAAGAACAGTAACAAACGAGTTCAAGAGACTCGAGCAAATATTTAGATTCGATTTCGACTATTTTATTCGAAAAAAGAAAAAGAGGGAAAAGTCGAAAAGGCTGGAGAAAGCCGCGACAAACTTTGTTTCCAAGCCAAAGGAATTATCATATTGGGAGGGGGAGAAGCGTTAATATACTACGGGTTACAGGGTTTGATAAATGCGTTAGGATAGGCAGGGGTTTTGACGTCGTTTTATTGTGTTTTGTGTTGTGGACAGAGGATGAGCAATTAAGGGGAACGGAGATAAATATTTTTTAAAGTTTAAAGGTATATTATAGTGGACATTCTGTATAACAAACTCCTCTATAAAGAAAATCATTTACAGTCAATCTTCTTTAGTACGACACTCAAAGAACTGGACCAAAATACCATTATAACCAGGGTCACACTAGGTGGTTCTTGATAGAAGTTCTATTACAAAGAGCGGTCAGAAAGCTCTCATTATAAAAAGACTGTCATAATGTCGAGCGTCATAATAAGAATCCTTTACTGTATAACACTTTTAAACTACTGTATAACACAATTATTTTATAACGAACAACCTTTAAAATCCCTGGGTGATTCGTTATACAGGAGTTCTACTGTATTTTGAACTTCAAACCTTTAAGACTTGAGCATCAGGTGTACTATCAACCATTAGACATCCTTTATTAACATAAATTTTCCAAAACCTCAATTCCATTCAACATTTTTTACAGTATCAAATAGTGGTTGTAGGTCTTTGTCGCTGAACCCTTTTTCCTTCATGGTCGCTACCATTCTTTCATACACTGGTTGGGGCATTTTATCAGCTGGTGGTTTGTTCATTTCCGATTTACCCAACCTAACAGCTTCATAGAAGTCCCTAACCAGCTTATGAATGTTGAACTTGACCCTTCTGCCAGTAGAGTATAGGTTGTAAAGGGCTTCACGGAACGGTCCGAACTCAATGTAATGATAGTGCAGGCGATTTTCAGTAAATCTGTTGGAAATTGTCTATAATTTAAATATTTTATATAGTGCTATGATTTATTTACTTTATCTTTTTCTATAACGTTATTATAAGCAACGCGTGCTAATAGCTACCTTTATATTGCTCATGGTATACTGAACTCGAAAAGTATAACTTACATCTTGAATCATATTGATCCCATACATAATTTGATGCAGATCAATAAGACCATCATCAGATACTTGTCCATACAGAGTCTCGTTTAAAGTCGTTAGTTTACGAGCTACATTTATGACTGTCAAGCGACAAGCCACGTCTCGGATCTCTTTCAACTGATGACTTATGTCAATCTTGTTCTTGGCCTTGAACTCTGTGTCCTAAATGATAAATACATACTGTATTCTGATACAGTAACTACAATAACTGACATATCCTGATACAATAAATAACAGTATTCTGATACAATAACTATAAAGAAATTAACACCAACTTACTGACTGTAAAAACGTAAACATCAATTGTGAAAGATGTTGTTGTATCGATACTGATATGTTCGCTTCCGTCGTACTCAACATACCTTCAATGTATTTAACCGCTGTTGTGACATTGCAAACCTCAACTCCATCTAAGTAATTCGGCAACAAAATGTCTTCGATTTTACAGTATACCGCAGTGATAAGGAAGAAATGTAATATTAAGTGCATGTTAACATAAAACATGATTAAATGTAGTTCAAAACGTTGTAGTTGATTGCAATTATAATAGTTGAATAGTTTATATTATTATCGTTAGAATTGGCAGTTAAATTTACATTTCTTAATTGATTATACAGTTTTTCCATTTGTCATACGACTATGAAAGGTATAAAAATTGTTTAAATTTATATTATGGTTATTATCAACGCCTGCTTTTTGCAAAAAATTTGTTGTAGATATATTAAACGGCGATGAGTAGACCAGAGATTTGTCCGTATAGTAACTTAGACCATACATTAACTGCCAATAACTTTGATACTTAAAATAATGCTACGATAATCAAGGCTAGCCTAGAAATAATGCCCTGAAAAAAAGCTAAAAATGAAAAAAATAAATTTTTCTATCTAAACTCCATTCTGAAATGTTTACTACAGCATCAAATAATAATATCTTTAATTAAACTAATTAACGTTAACTTAACAATAAAGAAGGGTGCCCTAACCCAACAATATGTTACTGCCCATTAAATTTCCATTCGAAGTTCCTTGAGTATTTCGATGTTTTTGTTCCAACGTTTCAATTCTTTTTCATCTACCTCCAAACTGTTCCCAAACTCTTCTAACTTCTGGTAGAACACCAAAAGTCCATCGAAACCATCCTCAATATCGCACAAAACCTTCCACAAACATTGAATTTCCATGTCAAAGTTTTGGTTCGTCAATTGGCCAAATCTTTTCATCTAAAACAAAATTTTATTTAAATTTTGGGTTTGTACCTTAATTATTTCTTCTTGGTCCATTTTTAATGACCAATAGCTTGGTCAATAGCTGGCATTGGCAAGATAAATAAATCACGTCAAACAAGCTTTCAAAATGATATAATAACCCAAGGCCTTCAGGTAAACCATAAACCAACGTTATAGAGACAACTTACTTCATGTTCCAAGCTTTGAAGGTACTTCTTGGCTTTGGCAGTCTCCGATATGGTTTCAGTGGCATCTTCAGGCAATGTAAACAGCAAAACTTTGGCACTGGCCTCCACTATATCACAGCTTTTCTAAAATACAATATTATAAACCGTCCATATTTTAGATGAAACTATATATTTCTGCCAAGATTCTTCAATTACCATAATTAGAAAATATCCACCTACCTTATCCTCGTACCCATAACAAATACTGGCGCTAGCTACAGACATTAGAAGGAGAAAGACAACGACAAACTTCATATTTTCAAATTCAAAACAAAACGTTTCAATGTGACAACAGCAAAGCTGCTGATTTTGAAAAATAATTAAAGAGACTAGCTTTTGAGAAAATAACACGCAAAAAATCCAAAATTTGCATAAAACGTTTTTCGTTTCAAAAACTGACTTGTTAGAGTAAAAATGGAGCAAAATACCAAATATTTTTTATAAAAAAGCTATACCTGTAAAACATGATCTAATAGAGAAGTCTTGCAAAAAAAAACGTATTTAAGATACTTTAAGAAACAATCAGACTCTACTACAATATAATTTTATACCGACAATAATTTAAACTAAATTATTAGTTAGATGGCAATTGCTTAGCGAGTTCTTTCAAGACTTCCTTGTGATTGTTCCAAACCTTCTCGTACTCCTCTTTTAGACCTCCAATTTCAGTTTCGAAGACATCAAGTTTGTGGATAAAGAACTCCAGTCCAGCTTTGGTCAATGGCATACGACACATCATGATTCTGAAGCATTGGATTTGACGTTCAACATCTTTGCCAACTGATTTTCCAATTCTTCTGGTCTGAAAAGGTGTATTATATTATGAAAAAAGGAAGAAAAGGTATGTTATACTACAAAACGTCAAAAAGATTAAAGTAGATTGGGCGCGAATCGCCAAGTGACACAGAGCTTTGTTATACGGTGAAAGATGTCCAAAGGAGGTCTTTGGTGTAAAAGTAATACGTAATAATTAAAAAATTTTGCAGTTTTTAAATAAAAAAATGAGAAAGTAATCCATATAATATTAAAAAATCAGCTTACTTCAGCTTCCATCATCTCAGTGTACTCTCCGGATTTCTTCGCTTCTGCTTTCCAACCGGCTTTCTCAGCCAGCCGAGCCATATTACCGGTAACTTGACTGGGTGGACACGAGCGCTAAAAACAACAATAAATAACCTATCATATATGAAGGCTTATCATTTAGCACAAAGTAAATAGATCACTACTGGGCTCTACTGTTTGTCATATTATAATTTATGCTCTTATCACGAAAGTAAGATGAAACATTTTAGTAAAATATGTTATAAACTTACAGCAAGAACTGAGTCGCAGACCTTCTCACTTGTAGCAAGAACGACCAACAAGGATAAAGCAAGTAGAATGTACTTCATGGCTCTCCCAGTAGATCAACCATCACAACCGGTTAGCACGAACAAATTTAATATTTTTACTTAAATTTTCAAATTTCGAAAAATTTTGAATTTCGAAATCATTATTCATTTTTTCATCATTTTTTAAAAATTAAAACTAGAAAACCAAAAAAATAGAAATAAAAAAGTTTTTTTAAATTCAAAAAGTATTTAAATTATTTAAAAATTGTAGTTGACAAGGAAAGTGGCCGACCTGCCCCGCTCTGATTGACTTCAAACTTTTTATATATAAAGATCACGTAAATATAAGATCTTCAGCAAAGTACTAAATCGCGCTTTCCAGTAAATCTTGAGAAAATCGAGATTAAAAATTGATATTTTGAATTTCCCGCCAACTTGGCATTGTGTTTCAAGCTTGTAACTTGGTCATTTTTTTGACTTTTAATAATTTTTCTTCGATATAATAGTAGAATACCTTTAAATAAACCTACATTTTTAAATTTGTAAGCGTATCTTGTCTGGAAAGCCGAAAAAGTGCTTGAAACACAATGCCAAATTTGCCAAATTGGCGGGAAACCCAAATAATTTAAATTTAAAACTCAAAAGCGCGAAATAAAATTTTTTATGGGTACTATTGGTGGTACAAAGAATTCATATAAAAATTTTGAGCTAATTCTGAGCGGGGTAGGTAGGGTACTTTCCTTGTGAGTTTAATCTCATAGTAAAAAATAACGATAATAGTTGTAAAGAATGACAACATTTAGTTTTTACGCGGCAACTTCTCAGCCATTCTTCGCAAAACTTTTTTGTGCGAGTTCCAAAGCTTGTCATATTCTTCTTGAGGACCTCCAACTTCAACCTGGAAGACATCAAGTTTGCGAATGAAGGATTCAAGGCCTGCTTTAGTGATATCCATGGAACAGATCACCTTTCTCAGACATTGAAGTTGGTCTTCAACATCTTTGCCAGCTACTTTGCCAAGTCTTCTGGTCTGAAAAAGAGTTTGTATTGGCATAGGATGATGTGTGAGATAAGGTCATTATGAATAACATAATAGTTTGAAAGATCAGTGACAAAATGATAGGAAAATGCATTTTAAGCTATAAATACAAATGCCATTAACATTAGACAGCTTACTTCTTCTTCCATCTTTGCAGTGTATTCATATGACTTCTTGGCTTCTTCTGGGTATCCAGCGGCTTCAGCAACATTGGCCATTTTGTGGCAAACAAGATCATATGGGCATTTGGGCTAAACTAAGGAATTTGAGCTAAATACGGCCTCAACTTGATTTTTATTTTTAAAAGCACAGCTTATATTTGCTTCGGACTACAATAAGTCCAAAACAAGTTTGTAAATGAAAGACATGATGATGGTGTACAAAGTATTTTAAAACGGTTGCTTTGTCAACGTTTAAAAATAAAAATTTATGTTATAAAAAAGACGAAGCCTTACTTACTTGTTTCGCATAAATATCACAAACTTTCTCAGCATTAACACAACTAAATACAACAAAAAGAAGGATTATCAACTTCATGACCATGGACAATATCAAGTCTTTTTGTGTTTAAATTTCAGCTTGACTTTTAAATTTTTATAGTGTTCAGTCGTTTTGAATAATTCACAAATTTCAATTTTATGTGTTTAGCCTTTTTGTCCATTTTACAGTGTATAAAACACCAACAATGTATGTTTCATTGCAAAGTAAATCAGTTTTCAAGCCAAATTGTAATGAAATGTGATTTTATATACAATATGAGTCTATTAATATAAATAGAAAAAGAACAAAGCGGAATTATAAGACACCAACGTTGGCAATTTTATATCAATTATCGTATAAAATCGCAGCCTGCACAAATCTTAACTGTTCCTGTAGGCCGCAGCATGCCAAAAAAAATTTGAAGGATTTTTTGTGAAAAAAGCTAAATATTTCTTTATAAAGAGAAGATACAAAGATGTAAAAAGAACGCAATACGATGGTAAGATGATGAACGTGATTTAGAAAACATTATCAATGTTTTGAAATGGTCAAAAGTAAGTTGTTTTTTGGGTTTCTTTGGGATTTTAGGCTTGTAAAAGTTAGAATAAGATGGATAAGATAGCGGAAGAGCTTGTCAGTTCGATAAATATTGCTTCATGGCCGCTATATGAGATTAAGTTGGATAATTGCTAAAATCTTATGTGAAAGTTAAGTTTTTGTTTTGCTTTTTATTATTTTAGACAAATTTTGACCAATTGTTTAATTTTTAGGTATCAAAAGTATGAATAATGTAAGTTTTTATGTGTCCATGAATTTTCAGATGATTTATTGGCAATTATACGTAACATTTATCTTTATTAACATCTGAACCGGAATAGATAAGGCATTTCATCTTTATTAAACATGTTTATATTGTTTATTAGCGTCTCGTTCCAAGAACATACTGCGTATGTTATTCAGTGATCAATGACTTGATTAATTTGTCAAATCAAGGTCTCCGACCTGCTTTAATTGTAAAAGTAATTATTGTTTAAATTTTCTATTTTCGCGCCATTTCGAATTTTTTTTAAGACAGTTATGACGACTCGTCTATATTTGCTTGTTTTGCTATGTTTTGGTACATTGGTACATGCGGATGGTAAGTTAGAATACGAATTACGCTTACAAGACTATTTACAATGGTTTTCAATGTTTGAGAGCTCAATAACTTTTTTTAAAATTGGAGAAAGATAAGGCTATATGCCTCTTAAAGTTGTATAGTTATGGGTAATATGAGGAGAACGTATGATAGGTAACATAAAAAGAATGTATGCTTTCAGAATCCTTCACAACATTAAATTCGGCAATTTCTGCTGAAAAATCAGAAGAATTATTCAAATATTTGTCAGATCCTCGACTGTCAATATACTCAAAATTCAAAAACATTGAAGATCTTGGAGTATTAGACGAATTATTTGAATTTGTTTTGACTGAACATTCGAAAAACCATGAAAGTGTCACAAAAGAAGACATCGCTCAGCTCAAATCGGATTCTCTTGAGGTATGAATGCTATTTATTTATTAGTAGTAGGTCATGAAGTATCGTCAATTCTACTTTTAAGCCCAAGACACTGTTTTAATTAATTACGTCAAGGAATATTAACCTAGACATTAAAAAATAGTAAATTTAGGCTTATTTGAAGCTGAATTGCGACGTCTTTTAAGCATTTTGTAATTTTGATGTTGATTTAGGAATGGGAGATCTACTCAAACAGCAGTTTCCAAAATGAAGAAGCCACAAACCAGTTCAAAGACTTTATTCAGCCAATTGTCGAAAGATACCTTGACTTGGATATTGAAATTCCAGAAGAATCTTTGAAAAACGACTACGGACTTGTTGCCTACTTTAACAACAAACTTTTGGTCGATTGTAAGTCTATGTTATACTTGCCATGATTGTGAACTCGTATTTTACAATTCTTTTTGTTATAAACAGGTATAGAGTAGTAAACGTTTGGGTAAAAGTTTAATAAGAAGAAGAATGGTGTTTTACGATTTAAAATTTTAGCACTAAAACTGCCGGAAGACCAAACGAAAGCATTGAATGAAGTTTTGAACGACAAAACCAGAAGCAAACCAATTTTGGTCAAGGAATTTGCCGAAACTTACTCAGAAAGCTGGCCGAAAGTTCTGGACCTCGTTGTTGAAAAAGTTGTTAAAGAGAAAAAAGTTGACAAAGCTTTTGGTAAAGTACTCAAAAATGTAAGTTTATCTTTTTTGAAGCTTGTTACCTTGTTGGAAGCTTGCTAGAAGCTTGTTGTGGTACTCATCTTTTTAAAAATTTGACTTTAGCTTTGGAAGAACGGCAATGGAGACGGCAACTATTACAGACTATATCCAGAATTGGCTAAAATTTCAAAATTCAATAAGGAAACAAGAGCTACGTTTGATAGTTTACATCCAGTTACTGCTCAACATATTAACGGTACGTTTATATACAGTTTTTTAGATATTATATTACATCACGGCCAGTGCCGAGCGGGGACTTTTGGTCTGGGGGCGGGGGTCGAAACCTGTGCCGATTTTTTGCGAAATTTTTTTAAAAAAATCCACAGGGGGGGGGGACCACGTTCAACTTTTTTCAAAAATTTTTTTCTGTGGGGTTCCCTTCCTCCCCCCCCCTCCCAGCGCCCGGCCCTGATAACGGCTATGTTTAGGGTTGATAATTTTTGGTATTTTCAGAAATTTTGTCATTGGCTACGGTAATTAACAATGAGATTAAACTGGACGAAGAGATCGCTAATCCTCTTGTTATTGGAGGCGTCGCCAGTACGTTTACTTCCTTTTGTTACCTAAATTTAGAAGAAACCATACAATTTTGCATTGTTGTGCTCTTTTAAGGGTACAATAAGAGCTCTTGTATTAATCTTATTTGTAAAGATGTTATGTATAGAAAATTTATTGTATACATCTACAGTATATATATACAATGATAACATACCAGCTAGAACATAACTTTGACTTTCTTTAGAAGTAGTAAAATTCGCGTTAAAATCAGCATTCGACAAGTTGAAAGAAGCCAAGAAGGATACAAAAGGTCTGGTTACTGTATTGAAAGATGACAAGGTGACATTGTTCCACAAGTTTTACAATGTGAGTAAGGCGTTACCAGAAGAAAACGTGCTACAAAGTGGTACCAAAGAATTGGAACAAAGCGGATTGGACAAGAAAGTTATGCGGTCTTTTGAAACTGTAAGTAAAAGTTTATACGGTGAAACGTGTTATCTAAATATTTTTAAAAACAGTATGTTAATGATAACATTTTTTATATATTTAGGTAACACTTAATTTTTGTTGTTGCTACAGTTTTATATAGTAACTTTTGTAGTCGTTAGTATATACATTTTTAGCTAGTCAAGACATACGTGTCGCAAAATGGAAAAGCTACGTATTTTAGTAACCGTGGACTTACTGAAGAAGGTAATGCTGGTTTATTGCTTCTTTTTATTTTATTTTTTAAGTGTTATATCTATATCACTAATTCGTGGCTTTCATCTAGCTTTTGTCATACGTTTTTACTGTTAACCATTCTATATTATACTGTTTTAATATAAAGAACCTTGTTTACATCATAATCTACATTTTGTTATTCAGACGCCAACCTATTCCTGGTCGACGTTTTGAATAAGATGACAACAGCACAGCTCGAGCAGCTTAAGGGATTGGTGCCAGGAGCGAAGAAAGGTCTTGAAGGTATGTTTTTTGCTTAATTTTGGTCGATAATCTGGTTTTAGAATTTGTGGCAGAGTTGTGAAAATACAATACCTCTTATGAAACATAAGTTATGGCGCAGCGACGATTTGTACTTTTTTGAGCGATTTTGTGGTTTAACTGGTACTGTTTTATAATAAACTGGTTAAGACAACGTTGCTTCGGACTTTATATGGCAGGGGTAATATAGTCGAGGTTAACATATTTTGTTTTATTTGTGGATATAATATTAATATTAGGTTTGTCAAATAATTCTGTGTCTTTTTGAATGAAAATTTTTAGGGTCAGGGGGTACAGAATTATTTGATCTATCTAATAGTACTGTTTTTAATTTGGAAAGTGACAAAGGTTAAGCTGTTTCACAAGGAAAGTGTCAAAAGGTGTACCTAACGCCCAGACATGTGATATAGCTTAAAAAAATTCTGTAAGCGTCCTGATTAAGAATCCGTTTTCAAAAGTTGCTAAATTTTTGTCTCGACCGAGTTATGGTCGTTTAAAGTTTGCACTGATTTCCTATTAAATTCCCGAAAAGGTCATGAAGAGAAACGAACGGAAAAGAAAACGTAACCGAGTGGCCGAATGGATAAAGCGTTATGCTTCGGAAATGCTGCCGCAGGTTCAAATCTGGGTGCGTGCAAACGCTTTTGCAATTTTATTTTGCATTTGAAAACAGTACCAATTGTACCATTAACAAAATAAAATTGTTATTTTGTAAGTAAAATGATATTTTATTGAATATTATGTGATAATATGGTTGATTAATTGTTTTTTAAAGAACTTGGACTCATTTACCAGTTCAGGGAAAAGTAGACAAAAAAATGAACGTTAACATTATGACCAGAGTTCCCAAATTTCAAATTTTCACCTCCGGCGCCAGCTCCGGCCCCGTTTTTTTAAATTTTAGCTCCGGCTTCAGCTCCTTAATATTACCTTAATATTAACAACTTACTGTGGCAAAATACACACGATGGGTCTACTACCTTTGGAAAATATATCTCGTTAGGTAAGTCGAAGTAGGACATATAGATTGCGTTTAAATATTTTTATAGCGTATAATAACATAATATTCAATAAAATACAAATTTTACTTAAAAAATAACAATTTTATTTTGTTAATGGTACAATTGGTACTGTTTTCAAATGCAAAATAAAATTGCAAAAGCGTTTGCACGCACCCAGATTTGAACCTGCGGCAGCATTTCCGAAGCATAACGCTTTATCCATTCGGCCACTCGGTTACGTTTTCTTTTCCGTTCTTTTCTTTTCATGACCTTTTCGGGAATTTAATAGGAAATCAGTGCAAACTTTAAACGACCATAACTCGGTCGAGACAAAAATTTAGCAACTTTTGAAAACGGATTCTTAATCAGGACGCTTACAGAATTTTTTTAAGCTATATCACATGTCTGGGCGTTAGGTACACCTTTTGACACTTTCCTTGTCAGTGATAAATTAGGTAAAACGAGAGCTTTTTTTTATAATCTTACGATTTTTAGGTAATATAAAGACTTAAAAATATAACATAGTAGTACTTTTTTATTCAAACAATAAAACTCATTTTTACTTGTTTTTGTTTATAAGTTATTGTTATTTGCTATTAGGTCGTTCAAATAATTTTGTGCTTCTCTCAAAGCAAATTTTTGGGGTTAGGGGCACATAATTATTTGAACAACTATACAAGTTTTTTTTAAATTTCAAAAAATTTTCAAAGTTGTTTTGGCTTTGACTCTTTGAAACGCTTTAAAACTTGTGCAAAACTCCTAACTCAGCCAGCCATTAAAGAAGTATTATGAAGAACAAGTTAAGTGTACATGCTTCATTCTCTGATTTCTCTTTGAAATCCAAGCTCTTCGTTTTTTGAGATAAAGGGACCTTCGAGACACTCAAAAATGCGCACTTTTCACTCTCGACGACACACTTTAACCTCCGCGGGGCCACGTTCCTGCTTATCCGCATTGGATATTGTTGTAGACACAAAAGTCATCCCATTGTCACTTTTTATCTTTATTTGCAGTTTTTTTTTGAATTTTGGTTTTAGGAGTTTTAATTTGTGAAAGGGTCCTTCCTAGATCTGGCAATTTTTAATTCGTAAAAGGGTTCTTTCTTGACCGGGCAATCGAACTGGGCCGATTTTTCAGTCCGGCTCTCAGGCCGAGGCCCATTTCTTATCTTTATATTGAACTGTTCAGTAGCTCTTTTGGTAAAAGAATTGGGTACAAGCCCTATTGTAAAATTCTTTTTTGTAATATGATGACTCGTTTTTAAAGTTGTTTTTGCGTATTTTATATTGTTTTTGAGGTCAATTTGAAATGTTTGTTAAAAATGCCATGAAAAAACTCCAAACTTTAAATTTTTCAAGTGTTTTGAAAAAAAAACATTTTTTGCTTGATTCTTTTGATAAAAGTTTGGCATTGATCTATTATCCTTGACTTTGTGTGAAATAAAGCATGTGATCTCTTTGCTACTAGTTTATATCTTTTTATATAAAGTTTGAACTTTTTTGAACTTGAATGCTCTTTAGGATGGGAACGGTACTACTGATGGGGTCTACTATGGGCTTTGCTACAGATTTTCTATCGTCGTTTGTTTTCTTTAAAAAAGTTTTTTTAATATTATGTTGGACCTTTGTTATGTGCTGTTCTTAAATTATTTTAACTTTTTTTTCGATTTTTATCCCAATGTCTAATAGTATATAAATTTATACTAGTAAAGGTAACATTTCACACTTTAAACGTAACAATGTTACTGTTTTAATCTCATAACAGCTACTTTGTCTACTTTTAAGTCGAGTAATAATGTGCGTTTGTTTTGAGTGTGAGAGTACTCAATTGTTTTTGTTTTCAGTATGATTTGTACTTTTAGCTTAATTTTTAAGAGAGCTTTTATAATTTTCTGAGAAGACGCTGCGATGCTATTAAAACATTGTTTTTTAAATATTTTTGCAAAATTCTGCAAAGTTTTCAAAGCAATGTTTATATATAATTGTACACATGCTTATATACAGTTAAACTCCTATATTACAGTTTGTTATGTAAGAGTTTCACTGTCTTTTTATATATATTTACCAACTCGAAACATTCCGGATGTTGTACTAGGTATGATGCACGTGCTGAAGATAATCGCCGGAGTGTCATAGTATTTTGGACATCAAGTATTCGTGTTAAACATGTACTTATATGCGTTTTTACATGCAATTTTATAGCTCCAGACCTGGAGACAATATATTTTTTAAAGATTATGTATAATGTAATGTAATTTAAAGTTATACATGTATATCTTGCGTTTTTAATAGTCAGATTAACGTTGTCTTTGTCTTTTGGATATTTTGAGACATTTTCGACGTAAATTGTATGTTTATGTTTATATAATTTGGTTAGGGCAGTTATATTAGGATGGCATAAAAGTCATGTCGTTTTTTAACTAATCTTTGCATGTTTATAAGCGACAAGACTTTTATGACATTAAAATAATATTTTTTTAATATTTTGTATTTTCGAAATTAAGCAAAAATTTTTTTCAGCATGAACATACTAATACTTTGGCTGTTGTTAGTATCAGTGACATTCGCCGCGTTTTGTCCCTTACTCGAACATCAGGTTTGTAACGACAGGAACAAACAACTGAGATGTGTTTGTGCGATGAGCTTGGATGAGGTAAGTTTTGAGTAAAAAACATTTTTTTTTTTGATTTTACAGTGAAACTCGTGTATAACGAATCTCTCTGTTGTTCGTTATAAAGGATTTGGCGATTTAAAAGTTATTGTAGAACGGGGCTTTCGTTATAGAGGAGGTCGTTATACACGAGTTTCACGGTACTTACAGTTTTAAAAGGTTTTGTTACAAAATTGTTAGCTTTTTTTATTGCAAACGTATATTTATGGCCGTATTTTACCTAAAATCTGTACTCTAACACTAACTTTTTTCAAAATAAGGTAAAGTTGAAATCCATATAACGAAACTCCTTTATAACCACATAGCATTTAAATCTTCTATTATATATAACGACCCTTCTTTATAACGAACAAATTTAAAATTTCCAAAAATAACGTCAAATGACTAAAACAATTATAATATAAATATAGTAACATAGATTATTTCCAGGAACCTCCACCAGAACAGAGTTGTTCAAACATAGTGAAGGTTGAGAATGTGAATGATTTCGAAGCCGTTAGTGTAATGTTCAAATTGGATAATGCTGCCAAAGTGATGAAGGGATTTCCTGAAGACAGGTTTAGAGATCAACTGGCCAGTTTACTGAAGATTGAAGCCGTAAGTTGCCATATTTAATTATGTTTGGGGTTCAAAGATATTTTTCAGTACGTATATGTGATCTTAGATTGTTCTGGTATGAGTGTGGGATAGTTGTAAATAGTATGATGATTATTAGTGCTTGCTATGGATTAGTATTAGAGATTCTGAGGTTGAAAAGTTTGTGATAAAAAGCATGGTACTATTGTATACTCATTAGTACCAAGTTTTATAAAATGCACAGTACTAAGTCATAGTACCATAGTGTAGTGTGGAAACAGAGTTCTCAAGGGCTTCGAAGCCAGCCGCAAATTGTAAATTTTGAAATTGCTAGATTGTACTAGCACTATAAATTTATGATACTGCTCTTAAAATTGCAGTAAGATGTATTGTAATATCATACAATATACGTTTGTCTCGTTTTTCGTACAATTGACGTAGCATATCTTTTAAAGCCTTGTTTTGTATGAAATTTGTAACTTTTGTTTGTTATCCGGAAGTGGAACAAGGCCAAAGAATAAACTTTTATTCCTACGTCAATCATAATATATGATTGATAAGCGTTCCCCGGAATAGACGTTCAACATACTGATGTTTAAAAATTAACAAGTTTTTGACGTGCTGTCTTGTACTATTAAAAAAAGTTTTTTGGTACCAATTCTTAATTAAAACTTTGTAGTTGAAAAAGAGATTTTTTAAGCGCAATAAGGAGAGAGGGATTCGTTCTATCCTCCCCGTTAAATCTTAGTTGTGATACTACTAGTACTTTAAAAATTTAAAAGTTTATCTTTATATTCCTTAGGAGTTAACGGGCCAGGCCTACTTTTGAGGCCAGGCTTGGGCCTGGAACTTAAAATTTTGGTCCGGCTTGTTTTTATTTGTTTTCAGGCCGGACCGGTAGAAAAATCTTTTGGTCTTAGCTAATTTTTTAGCTTGTTTCAAATTTAACTCAAGGTCGGCCCATCTTGATTGTAGGACCGAGCAGGTTCTACACAGCCCGTTTCATAGCCCTAATGTCTTCATTCTCCCCCTCCCCCTATTTTTTAGTTCTCTTCAAAAAATAGTACCAAAGTTTGCTCTAGTCACGTTGTTTACCGTACTCTTGCTAAACTTGTTTACCAAAACATTTTAAAACTTCCAAAAGCGAAAAAGTTGTGTTCAGCCAAATCTCTAGGTAGTTGTGGTGAAGAATGTTAATGTGATTGTTTTTCCGAATTAATTGTAATATTACTTCCGGCGTTCTGAATCAAGACGTCACGGTAAACGGAAGAGTGCATAGGAATTACTGACAAGTTTTTTGATAGGGAATACTGTAAACATGTTCTGCCGGTTACTTTACAGTATAAAGAGGGTTTTCAAGTTAATTTACAGTAAAATTCTGTTATTGTGAGGGCAGAGAATGTTAATGAATGTACGTGAGATTTTGAAAAAAATAAATTTTAGGTAACAAATTAGTGTAAATTGAAAAAATGACTAAGTTTGATTAAAAATTAAGATAAAATTTAAAAAAATGGACTCACAAACCAAGAAGTACATAGAAAGTCTAAAAATGCATATTTTTAAAAAATTTCATAAACTTCAATTTCAGAATGACATTCTGATCTTGCGAGTCCATTGCCTCGACCAAGAAAAGAAGTTTGCGGTACAATTTGTCGTTGTCAAGAACGAAGACGACGATGAAGATAACGACGGCATCAAGGACTCTGAAGACACTGACGATGCTAGAATCCCATTTGCTCAGACATATTTCATAGATTCTGACATCATCGTGAGGAATCTGAAGGTCGCCGGCAACATCCACAACATCGCTGGACTTAAGGTGGACAGCATCAGCAAAGTGAGTTTAAGCTAACAAGAAAGGGGCTTGGCCTGCTTTGATCTGACAAGGAAAGTACCCAACTTGCCTTACTCAGAATTATTATAGCTCAAACTTTTTTATGAAAAATTGACTGAGAAGCTTGATTTAATTATCAATACTTTGCTGAAGGTCTTATATTTAAATCATCTTTCTATCAAAAAAGTTCGAAGTCAGTTGGAGAGAGACAGGTCGGACACTTTCCTTGTAAATTAAAAAAAGTTCAAAAACTTGAATTTTATTTTACATCTAAAAATTCTGTAAAATACTGTTTACCGTAACTTTTCAATAGTTCAAGTTCAAAAACCTTTTTTTGCGTTTCCGGAGAGTAACATTAGTTGAGTAGTAAGTACACAAAAACAATCTTTTATAATGCAAATTGAAAAGGTCACCAGGACTTTGGAAAACAACGTGTAATAGGAGCTTTAATGGTTGCTTATAGTACATGTAGGGCTGATGAAAGGTCAGGTTTCTGAGAGAGTGTACTGTTAGGATCAGAGGACGAAAGAGTATGTATACTACTAGGGTCAAAAGGTGGGAGAGTCTACCTATTAGGGTCAAAATGAGGGGGTGTAGTACCAAGTTTAGAAGATGAGATAGAGGGTACTATTAGGGTTAAAAGATGAGAAGGTGTACTACTGGGTCAAAAGAGGAGAGACTGCACTACGAGAGACAGAAGATTGGGGGGGGAGGGGGAGTCAATCTATTACTGTCAGAAGGTGAGGGTTGTACTAATAGAGTCAGAAGATAAAATAGACCGTACTATCAGAGCTAGAAAGTGAGATAGTGTATTATTGAAGTCTGAAAAGAGGACTCTTACACAATTTTTTTTTAAATTTTGTTTATGAAATTTGAAATTTTGTTTTGCAACTTTAGACCTTTGTGGTCAACTGTACAACTAATATCTTTCCAAAAGTGTACCAAATACAATCCTAAATTTCATTTTACTAAAACCTCCGCTCATCATTTACCTTTTTCTATCCTCCAAAACCTTTAAAAATCGAGTTTATGCCTCGAGGGCGGAAGAAGAAACTTTTTTTTGGGTAATGAAGAGAGGTCAAAAAACAAGATGGCGAGGGAGGAGATACGTCACGTAATGACATTATATTATACTATAAATAAGTTCAAACAAAAGAGTCGGGTTTCGAAACCAATAGAATTTCAAGTAGCTTGAGGGAAACAAACGTCAGGCCATTGCCATTTATATAAATATGACGTTTCTGATGTGGCATTGTATATTGTTTCAACTGGAGATAACGATTGAATTGCAAAAAAACTTGCTTTACAGTAAAAAATAGAAAATTAACAAAGAGCTTCTTATTAGGGCCGAACAAAAGTTTTGTCGTTTTTTAACATCCAACTGTATTTAAAATAACGACAAGACTTTTTACATTGAAAAATTTTTAAAAAATTTAAAAAAAAAGGTGATATTAGGTTGTTCACATAATTCTGTGCTCTCTAAATCCAAAAATTTTGTATAAGATGGGGCACAGAATTATATGAACAACCAAATATTTATAATCCTGACCGTTACCTACCTTCAATATAACACTAATTATTACCAACATACCTATGTCCCCCCCCCCTCTGAATTCAATATGACACTAAAAAGCCAATCCTAATTAATATAATGTAGGTAACGACCTTATACTCGATGGAAGCCTATGTGGACAACACCGTACTGTTGTTCCAGGCAGCTTTGGCTGCTGTCTTCGTCTTCTTGACCTGTTTATGTGGCTGCTGGATTGCGTGTAAGAAGAACGACTATGAAGCTGATCTTCAGAAGTCATAAGCTGGCTTCTGAATCTGAGTTATAATAGCTACAGAATTGGCTACAGACTCTGAATTAGCTTTAGAATATTTTGTTTTATCGTCAGTTGTAGAGTCTTTAATTTTGTTTTTGATTTCTTACATCATCGTAGGATTCTGAATCTTAACTGTTGTAGTTTATGTTACTATACTTAACTACAGTCGCATAAATTACTACTGGAGTCTTATACAGATTCTTTGTCGTAGAATTCTGAATCTTATCTTTATTCTTTGATTCTGAATTTCATGTTCCATCGACATTTTTAGAATCCAGAATCTCACAATAAAGGTTACATTTTGTCCCTTCACCATAAGATTCAGAATTCTTTACTTTATCGTACGATGTGATTCTGAATCTCTGATTTAGTTTTAGAATTATGAACCTTTTGATTTACTGTCTGACTTCTGAATCTTACCGTCAGCTTCAGATTTCCTAATGTCACCATGTTTTTGTTATATCAGCCGAAATACGAACATAATCAATCACTTACTGTAGGTAAAAGTTTATCTCAATAAATATGTTGTTTTATTTGGTACAATGGTACTCGAGACGAAAGACACAATAAATATTCATCTTCTCGAATACGAAACACTTTTGAAGTGTAAGTGAGCGGATTCTGAATAGGAAAGGCTTCTGGGTGGTACGGTAGACTATTTTTCGAAAAACTGTAGTTATTGTACAGTATATTGCATTGTTTACTTACTACAGTATGTCATAAAACTATATGCTGTCAATGATAACAGCTCTATGATTACAATTTAGTCACTAAAACCTACTTTGTTACCTAAAATACTAAAAATTAGCTACCAGTTTGTCTACCGTACCACCACAAACCCTTCCGTATTGTATTACTGTAGGAAACAGTAAGATATTAAAACTGTAATATATTAATAGCATGCATTATCACTTAAGGCACTTAATTGCATTAGACTTGTAGCTCGGACCAGGTCTGGACTAGCGACAAACACTACTTTCTACAAATATGCGGCTAATCAGATAGGATTGTTACCGTATACCAATGTACAAAGCAACATACCTACCGTAAGCCCCTGATATCGCTCCGTCCCAACTACAATATCCAGCCAAATATTGTAGCAAAATACAATTACCCAAACAAAGATACGATATAAACACTGTACAGGGAATCATCATAAAAGTCTGCAGATCAGTCCAAAACGGTACCAAGTGCACTAGATGGGTACAAAAACGATCACATAGTAATACACATGTTTTAGTACTACAGTAGTCTATAGCATACTATAGTACTAATACTACAGTAAGCTATAGAATACTACCTCTCATACCGTAGTCGCACTCATCTCAATGACACTTGCACTGTAATGGCTATGGCACGGTGGGACTAGCGGGAGGTTTCTGGCTAGCCGCGGCCCTCTTCTTGGCCTCCTCGTGGCACTTCCTCTCCTTCTTGTTGCCCTTCAGCGAACTCGTGATGAACTTCAGCAAGCCGGCTGTCAATGGGGCCTTGTCCTTGTTCGAATCCGTAGACTTTGTCGACGACCGTGCCGATGAATTCCTCTCCAGCTTCTCGCCGGACGTCGACGGGCACGATGATACTGTAGACATTACCGAGTCCGGTCGATTCTCGTCGTTCTTTCTCAAAATCTGTCGATTTTCGTCGTTCTTTTTGGTCAAATCGACTACCGGGTACTTGGCTAGCTTGCCATGCCTTTCTGGAGCGGCTTCTGGACTTGATGGACTAGCCAGATTCGTGGAATACGTGGACTGGCACATGGCGGGGGTCGAGGCGGTGGTTGGAGCCAAGGGTGGAGCCATCTCCACGCCCTCAGCGATCGCGTCTAGCGGCTTCCTCTTGACGATCGAGTTCTTGGGTGGTGATCCTTTACTCATCGCAAGGTTCCCGACCGACTGTGCGTTGCGTTGTCGCGTCTTTTGTTGCTGCGCGACTTGTTGCTTCCTTGCGTTGGCGTCGGCAAAGTCCTGTAGGCTTTGTGCGCGACTTCTGACATTCTTTATACGAGGTGGCAGGGGTCGCGATGGAAATAGCTTCATGTCTTTGGTCATTATTGGAGCCAGCATCTTGGCTGAAAGAGATAATGGCATTAGTAAGGTTAGTTAATTGGTAATCAAATTTGGCGCGATAAAATAACAAAATTTTAAAAAATTTTTTTTAGGTAAGATAAAAAAATAAACGAAAACACACCCATAGCAACAATATTTCCTCAAAAACAACTTTGATATTCATCAAAAAACAAAAAAAAACACTTTTTTCCCATTAATTTTGACCCAAATTCCCCAAAAAACGGCTCAAAACCCTATGAAATCCTAAGATACAAGTGCAATACCATGTAAAATACCATGTAGAATACCATGGTATATTAAGTGGATTATCTTTCGGAACGGAGAAACCTCAAAAGGAAGCGATCTCCCTCCCTAACCAAAGATCAAAACATTGTTTACGCCATTACACATAGTAGTATACGAAAACAAATAGCATGTTGCGATCTCGAAATCGTGCAAACATTATGTTTGGCAAAGTCATTAGTGGATTGGGGGAGATAAAAGTGGCAAAAATATTTTTTAAAAAGTGAAAAAATGGGATTTTAGGAGGAAAATGGGCAAAAATAGGTTAAAAAGCCTAAATTTGGTTGATTTGCGACAAATTTCTCTCAAATTTTTATTAAAATTATCACGACAAACCCTGTTCACATTATTCTGATACCTAATCGTATACCTACGTATCTATATCACATCAAAAAACGCTCTTTTTCCCCAAAAAAATCTAAAAAAATTCGTCTTTTTCCCCCAAAATCCCAATTTTTTCCAAATTTTACAACCTAAAGCAACTTCCCAAGCCAAAATTCAAAGTTCAAACGCAAACACGAACATGTCCAACATGTTGTGTACACTGTAAAGTACGTCATCGCGGCTTTAAGCCTTACAAAGACACCAAGAGCTCATTAACGACAGACGGCTCGAGAAAAAGGCTGGCAAACACACAGAAAAAGGTTCAAGTTCCTGAGATTTTGGCTTTGTCGCGTGATTTTGCAAGGTGGAGAGGGTAGATTTTTTGGTTTAGGCTTAGTTTGAGATAGACTTGAATTTAAAAAATTTTTTTTAATTTTAAAAATTTAAAATTTAAGCCAAATTTAACAAAAAAATGAAAAAATAAACCCAAAGCTTAAAGCCTAATCATGAAAAACAAGCCTAAAGACCAACTTTTTCCCCTAAAATTTCACTCTTTTTCAACCCATAAACAACATTTTTCACTTGACTACCCAAAAACAAGAAATTACCAGTCGAAAACAAATAATATCCGTATTCAAATTGGGAAGGAATCATAAACCATTAAAACACCCTTTTAAACGTCGCGACAAACGGAGAAAAAAGCCAGCGCCTGCAGCCGTTCACTTGCAAAAAATGAGAAATGGCCTAATGCACGGTGCAAAACAACAAAGAGTTAATGCACGGTGCAAACAACAAGTTTAATGCACCGTGCAATCATTATTTTCACTGCACTGTGCAGTCACCAATTTCACTGCACCGTGCAAGTCAACAACAATTTCCATTGCACAGTGCAATATCATCCCAAATCTGCACGGTGCAAGTGTCCAAACCCCACTGCACAGTGCAATGAAATCGCAATTCAGAGAAGTTGTCGCTCTTTTATTCGGCGACAAATTCCAACTCTCCCGCCCATTTTCGGCGTTTTCGAAATCAGCTGTTCGCGCGACAATCGCGGGCACAACAAGTCGCCGAATGACGCACTTGCTTTCTCCGAATCGTGTCGCCGAACCAACAACGGACGGGCTTCGTCGCTGAAATCGAATCAAACGGTTCGGCAACAAAGGAAGAGGCTGGCGACAAAAAACAGAGAAAAAGTGGCGACAATCTTTGAAGAATTCTGCGATATGAAAACGAACAGCGACAGGTGGTGTCGCAATGCACTCTGCTGTCGCGACAAACTTCTTGATCGCAAAAGGTCAAAAAGATTGCGACAAACCCATCGCTGTTGCAATTTAGCGACAAAACCAATCCGCGACAAATCAAATTTCCCTCAAAAAGCAGCGATAAAATTGACTTGCGACAAACCCATCGCTCATCAAACTTTGCGACAAACAAAACTTGCGACAGAACCCCGGTTTCGTTCGAATTCAGCGACAAACTCAACCCGCGACAAACATCAATGCCCTCTAAACTCAGCGACAAACGCGACACGACCAGTGCACTCTCTGGGATCAGCGACGAGAAGTGATCGCCGTCGGAGCGACTGGAACTGGGCCCGTTTCGCGACAAAATGGACCAGCCCGGATGTTTTCCCGCCCATCCCGCGACAAAAACCGCCTTCCGCGCCTGGAAAACAGCCGCTCTCCACTGCACGGCGCGATGAATGGAAGAAAAAAAGGAGTCGGGGCCGGACCGCACCGTGCAATGGAAAGGAATAGGGCCGCACCGTGCAGTCAGAGAAAGGGGGAGAGACTGCACCGTGCAACGAGTCGGATTTGGGTCCGCACCGTGCAATCTTTTCCATGGCCGGTCGTTTTGTGGCCGAAAACCGGGGAAAAAGCGCCAATCGGGGTGGAAAAACAAAACGAGGGGGTCGCGGAATGAACAGGTCTTTTGAGAAGCGGCCAAAAAAGAAGCAGGCCCTTTCGAAAGGGGTCCAAAAAAGAATGGCAAGGCCCGAAATTCAAAATAAAGAGACGGACCCAAACGACGAGCGGCCCCTGGAGTGGGGCCGGTCAGAAGGCGTGCGTCACTCGCCCCCAAAAGCCTTTTCAAATGCGAATCGCTCAAACAAAAAACGCGACGAGTCCAGGCATTTTTGTGAGTGGGAAGAGCGAGAGAGCGTGGGGCGGAGAAGAGAGTGGGCAGAGAGGCAACAACCGCCTCAAGGATTGTAACTTTACAACAAAAGAATGGACAAGTAGAGACCGCGACAAGAGAGGGTGAGTTTTGTGGAGAGCTGTGAGAGAGTGTGAGTTTTGAGAAGAGAGAGTGTGGGCGAAGAGAGAGTGTGGTCGGCGGTTAGAGAAAAAGAGAAAGATAACTGTGGATTGAAGAGGGTTTTTGAAGGTTAGAGAAAGAAAAAAAAGATTACAGACAAAGATGAGAGAAGTCAGAAGTCTAACGTCTCCAAAAAGCAAAAAATATCGTGTAAAAGAGAGAGAGTGGTCAGAGAAAAAGCCTAAAGACACGATATAATGACAGCCGACTGAAGGTGCATTCACAGACGCCTCCGTGAGCATCAGGATGACGAAACAGAGAAGCGGCTTCAGGCACGGTGGCTTCAGTCTTCGTCTCTGGATCCCAATACATCTGAAATCGTTCTTTTTCTCTGTTTTTCTCTCGATTCTTACCGATATCTTGCTTCTCTGTCATTCTTTCTCTGACCACACTATTTCCTTTCTATAACTCTCTCTTTTTGTCATACTCTCTCACTGTTCTTTACTCGAAAACACTAAAAAATTGGCTGAAATGTCTCATTTTCTCTCAAAATTTCTCGTTTTCCCCTTATTTCTCTCGCACTCTCTCTCCTTTTCATACTCTCTCTCCTGATCTACGGTCTCTTGGAGGTTCGTTTTGTTTCGAAAGGATTCTAATGGATTCTGGAGTGTGAACAGCACGGAACATTGAAGGGAAAAGTTTGAATTCCAATGATATCATGGTAATTACTTTGTCGCAACATACAATTGCACAGTGACAATTTTAAATTGATTATTTTAAATTTAAAACAAATTTAGATTTTGTAAAATACGACAACCCCTCCATTTCTTTCAAATACAGCTTATGCGACAAACCCTTAAAATAGGTATAAAGCTGATAAGGTTGGCATATGAAGTGGTAATACGACAATAACAAGCAGTTATGTTGACTGTAAACAAGTCTACTTTCGAAAACATTAAAAGTACTCTGTTGGTTATCGAAAAACAAGATAATACTCTCAAATACGATGGTATTACTGTGGTATGTTGACAGTAATTAGGGTCATATTGAAGGTAAGGGACATAGTCAGGGTTACAAATAGATATTGGGTGTTCAAATAATTCCGTGCCCCTTTAAAATCAAATTTTTGAAGAAGGGCACATAATTATTTGAACAACCTAATGTAAAAATTACAGTATTGTATGATAGGGTAGAGCAAGGGTAGATAAAGGGTAAGGCAAGGGGTAGGGTATATTAGTAGGGTAGGGTATATTATCAAAAAAATTTAAAATTTCCCAAATAAAAGCCCTAAAGCGATGTAATTGCCCAATTTTCCTTGCAAATCAAATATTCCGCCTTCGTATTTTAATTTGGATTCATTTTGCATTTCAATCGCCTCAAGATTTAAATTGACGTTTTTCGAATTTTGAAATTATTTCAATTTTTCGATATATAACAGATCGCAAATCAGATGAAACAATGATAATATGCAACAAAAAGTTAGAGAAAAACTTGAAAAATGGTCAAAATTGACCGGTCGATAAGTTTTTTTAGGAAAAAATTTACTTTTTAAGTAAGAAATGTACTTTTTTAGGTAACACATGCACCTTTTTAAATAACAAATGTAAAGTTAAGTAAAACACTACGCTTTTAAGGTCAAAAACTTCATAGAAAAAAATTTTTTAGCCTCTAAAACGCCTTTAAACCTAATTCAAAACCCCTTTTTTCAACTTTCTCTAAACTTTCTTTTCGACCGCTAACAAAAATTTTTTTTCTCTCAAAAGCCATTAACTTTAGTGCCAAAATCAAACGAATATAATCCACGAAATAGCTAAAGAACAGAGTAAAAGTTACTCTAAGAAGGAAGGCCAAAGTAAGTAATTAAAGTGCGATTTCTCGGTATAAAAGCGAAAAAACAAGGAAAGGAAAGTAATCAACATACCACAGTAATTGTAAATAATATATTGAGATAAGTCAGGGTAGGACAAAGTCATTTTTAGGGTTATTGACATAAAAATACTATAAGTTGACTTTAAATAACCTTTTATTGTCATAACACAAGTTATCATAACTTTACAAAAAGTTACAGTAATACTCAATAAACTGTATCACAGTATGTGAAGTATATTGTATAGAATTATAAGGTAATTTAGTATAAGTAACAGTAGTGTAAGTTCAACATTTAAAACAAATCTCATATATTACAGTACCTTGAAGATACGACCATACTATTGAACTTATGTAAAATATCTTATATGTTACAGTACTATATAACCCCATAACATTATCCATGTTACACATGTAATGTATTCGCTCTGTCTAGGCCATAAATTTGAACCCTTAAAATGTAAAAAAGCCAGACATACCAACAGATGTATCAATAATAATATAAAATTTGGTTTTTTGTCAATTTTTATGTCATCTTTTGAAGTTTTAAACCTATACATATCTACTATTATACACCTCTATTAGTGTATAAAATGCATCTTTAGTTTTACTGTAATATATAGAATTGTAATTGAACATATCCTACGTTACCATACGAAGCGTAGGTTAAAATACAAAAAATAAAGTTAATATTATGATATTGGTAAACTCCGTATTTTACAAAATCTTGAAGTTTAAAAATAAAAACGCGTTTGAAATGACTCGTTTATCCACTTACAGCCCCTATTTACTCCCACAGTAATAGTAAAAAAGATATTATCCAAATTGAAAACAACATAAAATGATTACGCATTTGAATACGACGTCATATCGTGTGATAAGTATTATATGGTAGTAGGGAAAAATTCAAGTAGGGTAGGGTGAAACATAGTAGGGTAGAGTAAAGAAAGGTAGAGTAGGGCAAGGGTTAGGCAAAAGTGGGAAAAGGTAGGGCAATAGTAGAAGCCTTCCTCCCTAAACGTTGACCTTAAAAACCTCGTTTCTACGTACTTTCTGATCAACAACCAGAGACGTCGTTTGGGGGGTGGTTCGGGGTGACTCCCCCCCCAGAGCCGATCCGAAAAAAAATCCACAGGTAAAATTTTTTTGGGGTCTCCACCCCCCCCAGAGAAAAACCGTAGCGACGTCCCTGTCAACAACATACACTTTTCATCTACCACCGTATTCATAAAACCATATAAATTATGTAAAGAAAATTGTAGCCAGACCGAAATGAATCAAAGGTTTGTCGAGATGACGTGAATCCCTTAAAAGTCACGTTCTTTCCGATACAACAACCTTGTATCCTTTAAGATTCGTATCTTTCTTTTCGAACTTTAACCAAATACAAAAACACAGCCTTTAGAGTAAGACCACAACCCAAAACACTGTAAAATGTAGCTGTACTAGAATAAACTACAATATTATACTACAAAATAAGTTTTTTTTTACTTGAAAAGAGGTTGTTTTGGTCAAAAAATGCGTAGAATAACTTTTTTTTCAATTTTTTAAAATTTCAGTTGCTTGTTTCTATGTAATTTCAGACCAAGAGTTCCATTAAAATAAGAAAAAAATTTATAGAATGATCAAAAATCACATCTGTTGAAAGATGAATAATATGGCTAAGACTCTTTTGTTACTATTAACGTCGCTGAGTCAGTTATATATATTACCAAACTTTCTAAAGGACCATTCTCAAACAATATATATAGATATATCGTCCAGTGTACCCTCCTTTAGGTAGTGTGAGGTAAGGTAAAGTAAGGATAAGCAAGGTAAGGTAAGATAGATTATGTTAGGGTAAAGTAAGACAGAGTAAGATAAGGTAAGCTTAGACCTGCCCAATATCAAAAAATGACTTTTGTTCCATGCAAATGACACAGCTTGATAACTTGATACTTAACATAACATTAAAAGTGTCATGATACTATGAGAAAGTAAAATGACAAGAACAAGGTGAATATTAAAACACGACAAATGTAAAGGATTCACACCTGTAATTACTCGGTAAACATACAAACAGACATACCAAAGTAAGCCCCCTTATCCTGCATACTTTTGACATTACTAGGCTCTACCATAGTTACTTCGTATATGACAGTGAGAAAGTCAGTAACTTGACAATAAGTATGTCAGTAACATAAAAATAACTGTAAACATGTTTTCGACATTAACATAGATAATATGTATACGATGTGATTATAAAATTTGCAAGAATAATGAAATAATACCTCAAATGCACTTAACAGCATACATGGCAATATCCAGTGTTCATATTTACATACAAAGTAAAAAGGGCAGGAAGTATATTATCGAGTTATGACAATTTAATTTTAATTGTCACGTTGACAATTAAATTACTTTTGACGTCAAATTCGAGGAAATTAAACTCAAATAAAGTTATTGCCACTTGTGCAAACAAATAATTGAATGTGTAGGACGATTTGATAGTAATCTGAGTAAATATTACAGAAGAAGTACAATACATAAGACAAAGCATTTGAGGATCAAAATATAGGGGTGACCGTACACGCATTTTCACGTTACTACAGTGACGTTTACTTACTGTAATTAAAAATAGTTAAACTTTTTTATGTATAGAAAGTCTTTGTCTACAATATTACTATAGTTTACGTGAGACTTTAAAGCAAGCTCGCTGGATTAAGTTTTAATATTTAATTGCATAGCTGTCTCTAACAACATAATAAAATTTTTTCCAAATTTTAATATTTTAATCAAGCCTAAAATCATTATCAATATCACTGAAAGTCAATTATAACTCAGTACAGTACGAAATGGCTATATCAGAATAAAAAACGTATGTAAGTAATTACTACATGTCTATAACAGTATATCATAATAATATCAGTATCACATGCTTTTATCAGTACCACATACATAATTTTTAATCAACCCAGTACCACGTGCCTATTTCAACCCTTAGGTGATTAAAATTTTACGCAAAACATTATTAAAATTAATCTTGAAATTATTCAGATAACTTTTCAAAACAGCTCGTTATATTATATTAGCCATCGCCCCCAGAACCATTTCCCCTTTATTCGTTTTTACTTTTCTTCATACCCAAACACTCCTTCATACTATGCTCCATTATACTCTTACTCCCTTATGCTTTAAACCACTTTATCCTTTATTCCATTTTACATTCTTCTATCTTCCATTTTATTCCATTTTCATAGCATTAAAGGTGCAAAAAAGAATTCCTGAAGCAACTTCCGTCCTCGCAAAAACTCTTTGAGGATTCAGAAGTTCAAAGACTGAGAATTCTAATTGTTCGACGTCATAATTGTCGCCAAGTGTTCGCAAAACTTTTTATGACTATTGAACAAAGGCTTTGACGTTATTTTGGGATGAAATATAGTTGATAAATTGTGCTATAAGATCAGTAATAAGCCAATTTATCATATATAATACTTAATCAAATAATGATTTATATTATACATAATTTTTTTAATTTTTAAAAATCGTATTAAGTATATACACAAAATTTACCATACCACAAACCCCTG